CAGGGAAATGGTACATTGTCCCCCTGTAATCAAGACCTTGCTAACCCCCTGCTTGCCATTACTTACATGTTTAGTTTCTCGTTCCCTCCATCTTGCTAGCTCCTTGTTGGCCAGTTGTTCTGCCGTCATGCCAACCAGTTTGTCTGTGGGGACTTCACCACTCAGAACATGATGAAACAGTACCTGGAAGTACACATAACACATTAAATTAATGAATAATAATAATTCATTCTTCACTAGATGAAAAATGGGCTTTTTCCCACCCTATCTTCCATTTTCCTTTCTTTTTTTAATTCTTGTTTATCTCAATCCCATTTTCTCTTCCCATCTTCTCATATTATTTATTCTCCTTTCCTGTTAACAATCGCACTGCCTCCTTTTTTTTGTCTTCCCCTTCTTATCCTCTTCCTTTGCCCCTTTCTTTCCCCTCCTTCTTCCACTTCATTCCCATCTCCTTCCCTTTCTCTTTCCCTTCTTTTCCTTTCTTTGCAGCTGTCTATGTATAGACCTGAAACTCTGTTAAAGTGCTACTCTGACAAAAATCAAACTTGGATTCAGCTGAAACTTCCTAAGAATACTCTTTAAAGGTCCAATAATCACTGTATGAAGTGTTTTCTCGATATTCAGGACGAAAGTATGATATTTTTACGATTATTTTTTGGGAGTCTGTGACGTCATACACTCAACATCGAACATCGCTCCATACATTTCTTTGTAGTTTATGATCAAAATATCAGTAGTAAAGGGAGAAAGAAATACCCAAACACCCCAAAATATAAATTATAGTCACAAGTAATGTGAAATAAGCACATTAGCCACCCTTTGGGCTTCATAGGAATAAAATAATTTAAGGATTTATATACAAAGAAATATATGTTGCAATGTTTGATGTTGAGTGTATGACGTAACAGACTCCAAAAAATAATCGTAAAAATATCATACTTTCGTCCTGAATATCGAGAAAACACTTCATGCAATGATTATTGGACCTTTAAAGAGTATTCTTAGGAAGTTTCAGCTGAATCCAAGTTTGAGTGATTTTCGTCGTAGTAGCACTTTAAAGGACTCTTATGAATGCCACAATAACAAGTTTAATTTAATAATATTTTTCTGGTTAACTACTGCAAAGTTTGAGCTACGTTTTCATGTCATGCCATTAAAATCTATCACCCTGTCTACTCCTATACCTAAACCATCATATACTACTGATAGAATACTCCCTTTACTACTGGCGTGTGAACTGTACCTTATTTCTGAAGTCTTTAAGGTTGAATGCAAGACTTCGGTACTTGCTCTTGTAACGTGGACCAGCATCTCCAAAATATTTGTACAAATCTTCTTCAATGTTATTGGACATCTTATTTACATCATCAATGGTTAGTTTTAGCTCTGGTGCCTCTTTCATTCTGAAGAAATGACGGAAATATTAGAATAACAATTATTATGAAGAGAGAAAAAATAGGTTTCCTGTGGCCAACAAAATTTCCTCATTTGGGCACCCTGTGTAATTTTACGATATTTTTAGATTTAGAAGAAATTTTTTGATGATGATGATGATGATGATAATTATTTTTAAAAATGTACAAATCCTGTTCTTTACCTTCCAGAAAGAATTTCCTTCAAAGATCTTTTGACGTTATCTCTGATGGCTTTCTCTTCTTCCTTTCTGTCTTTTCTTTTCACTTCTTTGGAGACTAGAAATAAAGGACAAAAATTGAAATGAACATTTCAACAATTAAACAACAGGCTGACCGACTGACCAACTTCCTGACCGACCGACTGATCGACCGACTGATCGACCGACTGACCAGCCAGCCGACCGACCGACCGACCGAATGACCGAATGACTGACTGACTGACTGACCGACCAACTGACTGACAGACCAAATAAACAAAAAAAAAACGACAACGAACCAACTAACCACAGGCAAACAACCAACCAACCAGACAAACAAAAAACTAAATGACCAAACAGACAGACAGACAGACAGACAAACATCAAACAGACAGACAGGCAGGATAATCATAGCAATATTTGCTCTGTTATGTAAAACAGGACAATGTAGTGCATGAAGCAGCATAATTCTGTTGCCTTCATTAACTTACTACTACTTTTATAGTAATTCTGATTTTCTCTCACCAGATGGTTTAATGACTTCGAAGGTTGGATGCCTCTTCAGCCAATGGACCAAGTCTTGTTCAGCAGGAGCTGCGACACCAGCAATCAGTCTTCCTGTCATTCTTTCTATCACAGCTACTCTCTCTTTGCTCTGAGGAGATTGGGGTGTGGCTGTGGTGTGGGAAGATTCCCATGGATTGGGCATATTGATGCTTGACTGAAAGAAATAGGAAGCATTAATATATCATAGAGATTTGATAAAACTAACTCTACTGAGCTGCATATTATTTTTGCTAATCATAATAGGTGTGTGGAGTCAGGAAGAAAGGAAGAAAGGAAAAATGAATAAATGAATAAACGAATAAATGAATAAATGAATAA